CCAGGTCTGACCGGCATCCTCCCCCACCATCGGAGCCAACTCACCACCAGGTAGTGATCAGTTGACAGCTCCGCCCCTCTCTTCACCCGAGTGTCCAAGACATGTGGCCGCAGATCAGATGAGACGATGACAAAGTCGATCATCGAACTGCGGCCTAGGGTGTCCTGGTGCCAAGAGCACATATGGACACCCTTATGCTTGAACAAGGTGTTCGTTATTGACAATCCATGACGAGCACAGAAGTCCAACAACAGAACACCATTCTGGTTCAGATCAGGGGGGCCGTTCCTCCCAACCACACCCCTCCAGGTCTCACTGTCATTGCCCACATGAGCATTGAAGTCCCTCAGCAGAACAAGGGAGTCCCCAGAAGGTGCACTTTCCAGTACCCCCTCTAAGGACTCCAGAAAGGGTGGATAATCTGAACTGCCGTTTGGTGCATAAGCACAAACGACAGTCAGAACCCGTCCCCCAACACGTAGGCGGAGAGAGGCCACCCTCTCATTCACCGGGGTGAACCCCAATACACAGGCACCAAGTTGGGGGCAATTAGTACGCCCACGCCTGCTCGGCGCCTCTCACCAGGGGCAACTCCAGAGTGGAAGAGTGTCCAGCCCCTCTCAAGGAAACTGGCTCCAGAGCCCGAGCCATGCGTAGAGGTGAGTCCGACTATTTCTAGCCGGAACCTCTCAGCCTCACACACCAGCTCAGGCTCCTTCCCCACCAGTGAGGTGACATTCCACGTCCCAATAGCCAGCTTCTGTAGCCGAGGATCAGACCGCCAGGGTCCCCGCCCTCGGCCACCACCCATCCCACATTGCACCCGACCCCTTTGGCCCCTCCCACAGGTGGTGAGCCCATGGGAAGGGGGACCCACGTCTCCTCGTCGGGCTGTGCCCGGCTGAGCTCCATGGGTAAAAGCCCGGCCACCAGGCGCTCGCCCACGTGCCCCACCTCCAGGCCTGGCTCCAGAGTGGGGCCCCGGTGACCCACGTCCGGGCAAGGGAACACTAGGTCCATTTGTGTTTTTCATCATAGGGGTGTGTTTGGGCTGCACTTTGTCTGGTCCCTCACCTAGGACCTGTCTGCCATGGGTGACCCTACTACGGGCATAAAGCCCCTGACAGCATAGCTCCTAGGATCATTGGGACACTCAAACCCCTCCACCACGGTAAGGTGGCAGCCCAGGGGACCCTCTAGAGTCTACTGGGAAAACTCCAACACACAGGCACCAAGCCGGGGAGCTAGGAGTAGACCCATACCAGCTCTCTCACCTCTCACCATGGACAACTCCAGACCGGAATAAGGTCCAGCCCCTCTCAAGGAGCTCGGTTCCAGAACCCATGACGTGCATTGAGGCGAGCCCAACTATATCTAGTTGGTACCTCTCACACAAGCTCAGGCTCCTTCCCCACCAGAGAGGTCACATTCCATGTCCCAAGGGCCAGCTTGGTAAGCCAGGGTCAGAGTGCCAAGGCCCCCACCTTCGGCTACAACCCATGGCACTTTGCACCCGACTCGTATGGTCACTCCACCTTTATGCAGGTGGTGGGTCCACAAGAAGGCAAACCCATGTTTCTCATTTGGGCTGAGTTTGACCAGGCCTCATGGGTAGAGACCTGGTCAACAGGCCCACACCATTGAGCCCCTCTCCCAGGTCTGGCTCCAGGGTAGGGCCTCGGTTACCCATTTTTAGGCAAGAGCATTGAGCTTCTTGCTGTTTTCTGTCCATACAAGTTTTTTTTTAATCACTCTTTGTCTGACCTGGTTCCTAGGACTAATCTGCCTTGGATGACCCTACCAGGAGCAAATATAATTGCCCCCGACAGCAGAGCTCCTAGGATCATTCAGGTGCTCAGACTCCTCCACCACGATCAGGTGGTGATTCGAGGAGGAGAAGATTTTTCAGATATTTACAGATTAAAAAAAGTAGAAAACCATGAATCATTTTTCTCCCACTTCACTGATATACTGGTCGATCCCGGTCCTGATGTTTAGTCTCATCTTGTCTCCAGGCTCTGCAGGCTCTGTTGGCCATGACTTCCATGTGTTTGGATCAGTACCGCTCAGACAGCTCCCTGCTGGGCTTGCTGGACTCTCTCAGAGTCCAGTATGCAGAAATGATCCAGTCTGAAAGGGTTTCTGGAGAGGAGGACACCTACTTCACAGAGCTTCTGGGACTGATAGACACTCTGCAGGTGAAAATGAAATGAGCAGAGGATGGACGATGAACTTCTAACATGATTGTGGTGCCAAGAGGAGCACACGGATGAGAAACCAAGCCTCGACACATGAGCGATTCAATCAGATCCAGGTAACAGCTGAGACATCTCACTTGTTTCATTCCTGTTGATCCATGTGAGCAGCTGCTGTGTTGGGGAAGCTGAGACTGGATCGTGGAGCTACAGATCCTGAGCCAGAGCTGCTGTCCTCTCTGGACTTCCTGGTCTTTTTCCCTTCAAGCATCTGCTTGTTCTTTCTCTAAATTGTCTCAATCCCCCCTCTTCAAAGGTCAAAAGAATTAATTTCTCATTAAATGTTCTTATTTCCAGGTAGTCATCATATCATTTTCATCCACAAACATAAAATGCTATTTTGCAATAAGATGATAAATAAATAAATAAAATGATTTAATTTTGCATTCATGTGTGTAATTTATTTTTATCTATTTATTTTTATTTGTACAGGTAGTCTCATTTAGTCACGAGAACTCATTTTCAAGAGAGACCTGTTTGGGAGCAGATGGTGGGGGTTAAGGGCCTTGCTCAAGGGCCCAGAGTGGGGCAAATGAGGGTGGAGGCAGGTGTGGATGTTTCGTCTTTCCCACCCACATTTTGATGTTGTCAGTCCGGGGAGTTGAACCTACGACTTTCTGATCACAGGCTCATCTTCTCAAACCTCTGCACCACCACTCCCCAATGATGATATAATTTTGCTCCTACCATTAATGGTACTGTTATGTCAAGACGAGGGCTGGCTACGGGTCACCGGTCACCAAGAGGCCCCCCTCTCGGACCCAGGACCCACCTCCAGCCCACGTTGCTTCCCCCCCGGCTCGAATATCCCTCAGAAGTGGCAACTTATACTAACAATAAATCAAGGAAACATGAATTAAGTTTTATCAATTATATTAAAATCCTTCTCCCACAATATCACCCCTGTGTTCACCTTTCCTGGAGCTTCTTCAGCTTAGATAACCTGAACAGATGATAAGAGACACAAACAACACAACACCTTGCAGGCAGCCAGCCAGACAGAGTCCATCCTTCTACCCATCATCCTATTCCTGTCAAGCTTTTCTGAATTGAGCCATAACATTTAGCATTTTATCAGCAACACTTATTGTTTTTCTCTTTTTCTCCATGCACCAAATTTCACAAGTCATAAGTAAATATTATAGATACAGATAGTGGTTTATTTGCGGAAGTGAGTGAACGCTGGCGCGACTTGCTGCCGCTGCTCGCCGCAAATCAACGATTATTGGCAAAACTGTGTGTGTACATGGTCTAGCTTCCACTTTCCTGCTCTCATCGACCACCTGAGTCTTACCTGTCGCTGTTCATCTGTCCAAGCTGTCGACTCTTCTCCTACAATGCCAATTAGCAGGATATACACCTGGGCTGTGCTTCTCTGGACTCTCCTGGCACTCCTTCAACAACCTGTTACGGGTCTGATCCAGTACTCTGCTGCTGAGCTCCTCCGGCTGCGGTTTCATCCATCTGCACTTCCCCCTGCTTCGCTATTCATCTCGGATGCAACTCTCCTACCACGCCGGAAATACATCCACCGCGGACTTCGCCGGAACATCCAAGAGGACACGTCGAAATCCATAAAATCCATCTGGTCTACTTCTCGTCGTCCCCGGCGTGCCTCCAACCGGGTTGTTGACCGCAGCGTGCTAGCTTACCTGGCCCGGTCAGCTAACGCTCCTGCAATGTCTGATAACTCCTCCGTAAACTTCGGTCTGCTTAACGTCCGCTCACTTACGGGCAAGGGACATCTCATTCAGGATCTCCTCACTGACCGTAAGTTTGATTTTTTATGCCTGACTGAGACTTGGCAACAACCGAATGATTTCTCTCAGCTCAATTATTCTACTCCACCGGGGTTTGTTTACATCTGTCAACCCCGTGGCACCGGCCGGGGAGGAGGTCTCGCGATAATTCACCGCGAGAAATGGAAAGTCTCGCCGTTGTCTGCTCCCACCTTCTCCTCTTTTGAATCAGCTGTGTGTCAGCTCTATGGACCTACCCCCACCATCATTGCAACCATCTACCGCCCGCCGAAAACTAACAGTGACTTTCTGGATGACTTTGCTGCTCTTCTCACTCACCTGTCAATTCTCTCACCAAACATTATAGTATTGGGTGATTTTAATATTCACATGGACGATGGAAATAACTCACTGACTAAAGACTTTTCATCCTGCCTCCAGAGTTTTGGTCTTCAGCAGTTTATCAATGTTCCCACTCATTCTAAGGGTCATGTCCTGGATCTAGTCTGCTGTTATGGTGTATCTCCCTCGGATTATACAGCAGATGAACTCGCCATAACTGACCATTTTCTCCTCTCATTCAATATCTGTCTCCCTCTCTCTATCACCAAGCTTCCTCGTCTCATCTCTTTCCGTAACATTAAGGATATTGATTTAAATTCTCTCTCCTCCGCCGTCAATTCTCTCATGGACAATCTATACTCAACTCTAGACTCAACCATCCTTGATGACTTGGTCTCATACTACAATACTGGTCTTCACTCAATACTCAACTCTCTTGCTCCGCTAAAAACCAGATCTGTTTCTTTTGTTCGCTCTGCGCCCTGGTTTACTACAGAACTTCGGCTCATGAAGGCTAAAGGACGGCAACTTGAAAGGCTCCACCGGAAAACTGGACTGGTTGTACATAAATACATTTACAAAACTCACATATTGCATTACAAGGACTGTATCAATCAAGCCAAATCCTCCTACTACACTTGTTTAATTGGTTCAAATGAAGGCTCCACCAAGTCAATATTCTCCCTCTACAAGAACATCACCCAAGCCCCGGACTCCCTACCTTCACATCTGTGTTCAACTGAATTTTGTAACTCCCTCGTGTCATTTTTTGACAGTAAAATTGTTAAGATCCATCAGTATCTCAGCTCACAACCGACCCCTTGTCCTACTCGTGAACTTTCTCCTTCAGCCCACTCCTTCTCTTCCTTCGAACTCCCGACAACTTCAGAAATCATAAGCCTCATCAACAAGTCCAAGTTGTCCACCTGTTTGCTTGACCCTCTTCCAACAGTTCTGGTTAAAGCCTGTGCCCCATCTATACTCCCTCTCATTTCTGCCATTATTCACTCCTCTCTCTCCACCGGAACAGTTCCTGCATCATTTAAAATTGCTGCCATAACCCCTATCCTGAAAAAACCTGGCGCTGATTACCGTAATCACAATAATTTCCGTCCTATCTCCAACTTGCCTTTCATCTCCAAGATTCTTGAAAAGACAGTTGCATCTCAACTCCATACTTACTTATCCAACAATAACCTGTATGAACTGTTTCAGTCTGGTTTTCGTCCCCTCCATAGTACAGAAACAGCTCTTATAAAAATCACCAATGACCTCCTCTTGGCAGCTGACTCCGGCTTGCTGTCCATCCTCATCCTCCTCGACCTGAGTGCAGCGTTTGACACCATTTGCCATGCCACCCTACTCAATAGACTTTCCTCTATTGGTATCACTCAGACTCCTCTAAACTGGTTTAAATCATATCTCTCCGGCCGCACTCAGTTCATCCGGATCAAAACCTTCACTTCCGAGCCTTCATCTGTCACATCAGGAGTTCCCCAGGGCTCTGTCCTGGGACCCCTCCTCTTCATTATTTATCTTCTTCCCCTCGGCACTATTTTCCACAAGCACAATATCGATTTCCACTGTTATGCGGATGACACCCAGCTCTATGTTTCCAGTAAGCCCGCCTCAAACCTCCCGCCATCCTCGCTTACCGACTGCTTGACTGAAATAAAATCCTGGTTCACCTCAAATTTTCTTAAACTTAACAGTGACAAAACAGAGGTTCTTCTCATTGGTACAAAATCCACCCTGGCTAAAACCAAAAATTTCAGTATTGACATTGATAACCGTTCCATTTCTCCCTCCCCTCAGGTAAAGAGTCTAGGTGTCATCCTCGACAGCACTCTTTCTTTCCAGTCTCATATCAACAACACCATCCGTTCGGCTTATTTTCACCTACGCAACATCAACCACCTCCGCCCCTCCCTTACTCCCCATTCCACTGCCATCCTTGTTCACTGTCTGGTTACATCGCGCCTGGACTATTGCAACTCCCTTCTGTTCGGTCTCACCCACAAATCTCTTCATAAGCTCCAACTGGTCCAGAACTCAGCTGCCCGCATCATCACCAAAACCCCATCCATTCATCACATCACTCCAGTCCTGCAAAAACTCCACTGGCTGCCAACCAAGTTCCGCATAGATTACAAAATTCTCCTGTTCACTTTCAAGGCCCTCTACAATCTCTCCCCACCATATCTTTCAAATCTTATTCATATTGCCATTCCCTCTCGCTCCCTCAGATCATCCTCCTCCATCCTTTTGACTGTCCCCTCCGCCCGTCTCACCACCATGGGGAGCAGAGCCTTCAGTCGCTCTGCTCCCCGACTTTGGAACTCGTTACCACCTCACATTAGAAACATAAAGTCAATCTCACAATACAAATCATAACTCAAAACACACCTTTTTAGATCTGCTTTTTCCACCTGACACAATTGGTTTTGCCTGATTTTATATTGATTTTATATTGATTTTATACATTGTCTTTTTTCTTCCTTTCTTTTTCTTTTCTTTTCTTTTCATCTCTTAGTTTCTGTTACTGCTGATTTTATTCTTTGTACGGTGTCCTTGAGTGCCAGAAAGGCGCCTTTGAAATAAAATGTATTATTATTATTATTATTATTATGTAACATGACTATAAAAATGCTATGTCTTAAATCATGTTAGTTGTTGAAATTCATTATTATATATTTTCTGTTAGTATCTGTTAAAGAATAGTTAAAAATAAGTAAAAAATAGTGTATTACTACTCGGTTAGCACTTGTAAAAATCTTACCTGAGATGAAAACGCTGCTATAGATTTGATTTAATCTGCCTGTAACTCTGTCACTGAACATTTTAAGTGATATAGAAGACAAATATCTAGCAAAGTTTTTGCTCCTTATATACAAT